CATATTAAACACACCATGACGCCCAAATGTGGATGTCATACCTTTTCCCAGACCTTGTGATCCAAACCCATGTTCTCGTAATATTTCACGAGCAGTGGCATATGTGCTCTTTTGCTGAAGATAACAATTATAAACATTAGTACAAAGACGTTGCTTTTTTACTGCAGGGGGAGATTAAAGTTTTTTTTTTTCAACAAATTTCTTTTAAATTTTACAATAAACAAATTTGCAGTACATGTTGATGGAACACATTGAAATATGGATTGAAACTTTGAAAAGTTCACTGTGTAACTTTCCCTGAGATATAATAATATTTCATTGTCTAAGATATAATAGTTTACTGTGTAAATATACCTGAGATATCGCAATATTTCACTGTGTGAAATACATGAGATACCACAATATTTAACTGTGTAAATATACTTAAGATATCACAATATTTCACTGTGTAAGATATAATAGTTCACTGAGTAAATATACCTGAGATATCACAATATTTCACTGTGTAAGATATAATAGTTCACTGTGTAAATATATGCGAGATATCACAATATTTCACTGTGTCAGATATAATAGTTCACTGTTTAAATAGACATAGGATATCACAATATTTCACTGTGTAAGATATAATGGTTCACTGTGTAATATCCCTGAGATATCACAATATTTCACTGTGTAAGATATAATAGTTCACTGTGTAAATATACTCAAGATATCACAATATTTCACTGTGTAAGATACAACATGTTACTTTGTAAAAATACCTGATATATCAAATATTTCACAGTTTAAGATACAATAAATACCTGAGATATCACAATATTTCACTGTGTAAGATAAAATGGTTCACTGTGTAATATCCCTGAGATATCACAATATTTCACTGTGTAAGATATAATGGTTGACTGTGTAATATCCCTGAGATATCACAATATTTCACTGTGTAAGATATAATGGTTCACTGTGTAAATATACCCAAGATATCACAATATTTCACTGTGTAAGATACAATATTTTACTGATATATCAAATTTTCACAGTTTAAGATACAATAAATACCTGAGCTATCACAACATTTCTTTCTGCTTGTAACTTTACTTTAACAACTTCAAATGGATTTATAACTACAGCTTCTGTTAATCCAGAACAGAGTCCAGCCAATGCAAATATCTGAATAAAATATATCAAAAAACATGTTTAATCAGTTATATAATTCAAAAGTTAATCTGTCTAAAGAAACTTATGTGTACCTGGATCTGGCTCAAGTTGTTATCATATTTCAACATTGGGCAATGCAGATTTATAATATATCATGCAAGAAGATGAAATAATATTCCAGTCTTTATTAATCAGTTAATTATTTACTTATTATACCTACCATAGATTGAGGTAAATATCTACAATATCATAACTTCCATAGAATGAGGACAGTATCTACAATATTATACCTACCATAGGTTGAGGAAAGTCTCTACAATATTATAACTACCATAGAATGAGGAAAGTATCTACAATATCATACCTACCATAGAATGAGGACAGTATCTACAATATTATACCTACCATAGGTTGAGGAAAGTCTCTACAATATTATAACTACCATAGAATGAGGAAAGTATCTACAATATCATACCTACCACAGAATAAGGAAAGTATCTACGATATTATAACTACCATAGAATGAGGAAAGTATCTACAATATCATACCTACCATTGATTGAGGTAAATATCTACAATATCATAACTACCATAGAATGAGGAAAGTATCTACAATATTATAACTACCATAGATTGGGGAAAGTATCTACAATATTATAACAACCATAGAATGAGGAAAGTATCTACAATATTATAAATACCATAGATTGAGGTAAGTATCTACAATATTATAACTACCATAGAATGAGGAAAGTATCCTCAATATCATACCTACCATAAACTGGGGTAAGTATAATACTGTATCTACAATATAATACTTTAGTCCTACCATAGATTGAAGAAAGTATCTACAATAGTATACCTACCATAGATTGAGGTAAGAATCTACAATAGTTTACCTATGCTAGATTAAGGAAAGTATTTACATTATTACACCTTAGTCCTACCATAGATTGAGTTAAGTATCTACACCATTATGCCTACCATAGATTGAGGTAAGTATCTACAATATTTACTTTCCAAAGATTGAGGTAAGTATCTACAATATTTACTTTCCAAAGATTGAGGTAAGTATCTACAATATTTACTATCCAAAGATTGAGGTAAGTTTCTACAATATTATACCTACCATAGATTGAGGTAAATATCCTCCATATGCAAATAAATGTTTGTAACGTTCAAATGTGAAGAATTTTACAGCTCTTTTTGGTGTCTCAGCTAACAATGGAGGTAATATTCCTTTGTAAAATGACAGAGGTCTAAAAATGAATTAATAATTCTTTTTATTTCCATGATTTAAAATTTAGAGAAAACTAAAATATTTGGAAGAGCAAAACAAGATGTTAAATAGCAGAAGGCATATACAAGTTATGTTATGGCACATGTATTGTATTAGACTAACTTTAATACAAATGAAACTTCATTGAAGAACATAATTATTGAGTTACTTCAGGAATATTAATTAGATATTTCATTTAAGAAGTGGTTATTCAGAAAAATAAATATTTGATTTAAGGAATGCTACTTCAGGAATATATAAACTATATACTTCATTGAAGATCAGTAAATTAAGAAAAATTAATTAGATATTTTATTGATGGAATATTAACTATATATTTCAGGAATGTTACTTAAGGAATATTAACTTTCTACACTTGAACATTCTTACCCTTCAGTTCTGTACATTTTCTTGAAACAATCAGCCAGAGATGTGTATCTATTTGGATCCTCTGGTCCCCTCTGTATTTGAAATCTTGTTTTCACCAAATCCAAAGGATGCATTATTGACACTTCCACAAAACCTATCTCAGAAATACAAACATGTATTTAAATTACCTATATAACACCACTTTCATAGTTCATAACTATATCCTATAAATATATCCTATAAATATTTTGGAGACTGCATTAGTAACCTGCCTTAATATTCACCCTAAATAGAAGATAATGTAACAAGAGCTGTCGGTAGGACAGCAACGCTCGACTATTCTTAGTGCTTGATAGTAAAAAAAGCCTTGATTAAAAGGTAAAATTTCTCAGTAAAGAAAAAGGCAAATTTTTTTTAAATCCATATTACAGTTATAGGCCTTGGAGAGAGTCCTATTATGCTCTCAAAAAGAGTATAAAATTTCAACATGTTTCAAAGCCTTATGTCAATGAACTTTGAGGTATAACAAAAACTTTAACGTAAATTCTAAGTCAAAAAAGGGGCATAATTCTGTCAAAATGCTTGATAGAGTTACCTCCTCCTGTCTACAAGATGGGGTCATGATGGTGAACAAGTTTGCAAAGTTTCAAAGCCATATGTCAATGGACTTTGAAAATATTTGAGGTATTACAAAAACATTAACGTAAATTCTAAGTCGAAAAAGGGGCATAATTCTGTCAAAATGCTTGATAGAGTTACCTCCTCCTGTCTACAGGTTGGGGTTATGATGGTGAACAAGTGTGCAAAGTTTCAAAGCCATATGTCAATGGACTTTGAAAATATTTGAGGTATTACAAAAACTTTAACGTAAATTCTAAGTCGAAAAAGGGGCATAATTCTGTCAAAATGCTTGATAGAGTTACCTCCTCCTGTCTACATGTTGGGGTCATGATGGTGAACAAGTGTGCAAAGTTTCAAAGCCATATGTCAACGGACTTTGAAAATATTTGATGTATTACAAAAACTTTGACATAAGTGGTTACGCCGACGCAGACACCGAAGCTCGGGTGACTACAATAGCTCTACTTATTCTTATCGAATAGTCGAGCTAAAAAAGTGAGAGAAAAAATATTGTCTTTAAAAATAGGATTGGACTTATGATTATTCAAAATAAAATTTGACAGGTTTATGAAAATGATCATTTATTTAAATATGAAAGAAACTAATTGAGATCTAATTCTTATAATCATTTATCAAACATTTTCTGTTTAATGTTGAGTACCGTGGTACCATATGACAACGGGCATTTCTCAGCAGACCGGTTTCTGACATTTTTTTTTTTTTATACAAATTGTAAATTCGTTTTCTTTAATCAGAAGTTGTTTACCTGCGCAACCACCAGCTACAAACTGCATGGCAGCAAGGTGGTGCAAAGCCCAATCCTTCTCAATAACTGTCATTTTGTACTTAACTTTAAAAAGTGCCTTTAGAATTTATTTGTAAATCAATGTCAACAAACGTGTCATTGCATACTTCATGTACATAATCACGTGACTTTCGCTTAGGGATAAGTTCGTATTCATATTAATTTTATATTTTTGGTATGAAATAGAATTCTTTTTATAAAATCCTAATAAAAGCAATCAATAAATTTGATTCTTCAAATAGATTATAAAAGGTCCCACAAAAGCGCAATAAAATAAAATTAGAGTATAATACATAATTACTTATCCTAACCGGTGTTGGGGTAGTTTAGTCCCGCGCACAAGGTCGTGTTTAACTTGCAAGATTTTGATAATTTTTTAACCTTTGTAAGTAATTAAAGAATATAAACCATCTCCGATTTTATCTAACAGTTACTTTTTCTTTTATAACAATGTTCATTTCGTATGGGTTTCTTTAGTGTATTACATAATCTGGAAATTCCTACTTTGGCTTACAGAAGATTTAGAGGTGATATCATACAAGCATGGAAATTATTAAATGGGAAGGAAGATATAGATTATAATGTATTTTTTGAAAAAGCACAACTTGATAATCATCACATCAGAGGAAATTCCATGAAGTTGAAAATAAAATCATGTAAAAAGGAATTAAGAAAACATTTTTTCTCATTAAGAGTAATACCAGAGTGGAATAAATTACCAGATTCTGTAGTATGTTCACCAACGCTGAATTCGCTAAAAAACAGACTCGATAAGGTTATGAAAAACAAATTATATACTATTATACCGGATAATAATCATTGGGTGTCAGACCTCGAGGGGGTTTTAAGAGATTTCTGATCTCGCGACCCTACGCTGGATAAAGTAAAGTACTAAAGTAAAGTATATACAAGTTTAACTTTTGAAATGGCCCATGATCTGATGATTGGGGTCTTATCCTGGAGATAGCCTGCACAGTTGAACGGCACTTCTCACTTCCCCTCGGAGCGTGCTCATCGCTGAGATAGCCTGCACAGTTGAACGGCACTTCTCACTTCCCCTCGGAGTGTGCTCATCGCTGAGATGGCACAGTGCATTGGCAGAAGATTTGAAGACTTGAGATGGCGCCAAAGATCAGAACTTGTACTGCGGATCAGCTGACTCTGACTTATGCCGAGGGGAGTTGCCCAACAAAGTAGTCTCTGAGTCGACGAGGATGGTGTACAAGGGTGTGTGAGCCCCTAGCATGGATAAACGGCTTAAACGGCATCCCAGTGTCCTCAGGTGTCCCACAAAGCTCTGGTGTAGGACACTTCCTATTTCTCGCCTAGATAAGAAAAAATGACCTCCCACAAAATGCATGGTTCAATGGGTTTAACATGTGTTTAATAGAGGGCTAGACATGTATTATCAATATTGTGGGTTTGATTCCTGGTCTGGCCAACTAAAATTACTAATCAGTCTTTCGGATGAGACTTTAAATCAGGTCCCCTGTATGAGTGCTGAAACACTTGCCATTTTAAAGAACCAGGGGAAGCTTCTTGAATTGGCGCATCTTTCTGTATCTGAATCTTGCACTATCCTCCAAAATATAAAATGACTAATACTCTTTTGGAGGACTCGCCAATATGTGCAACCAGTGGCGAGTATAAATAAACTCAAAACACACACAGAAAATTGCCAGGTCCGCTTGTTTGCAGACAAAACTGCAATATACATTGTCTGATTAGAGCTGTCAGAGATAGAGATGATATTGATGTATCGTTGATATTTTTCTGTTGATTAATAATTGATACACATCTTAAAAAAAACAAAAATTTTGATTAATTATTTTAATGTCTATAAATTATAAAAATTCGCAAAAGCAGGTGGCCATGTCTGACACCAAGCTGTGTCTTTCATCAAAAGAGGGGTGAAGTGTCTGAGGGGTGAATTGTCTGTAAATCCTTTGTTGTAGCTCCCAAAACTTTATAGTCTGCTTTTTAACATTTTTAGCTCACCTGAGGACAATGTCCTCAAGGTGAGCTTTTGTTATGGCCCATTGTCCATCGTTCGTCTGTCCATGCATCAAAAATATCTTTAAACAACTTCTCCTTCTAAACCACTCGGCCAAATTTGTTGAAACTTTGCAGGGCTGTCCCTTGCATGAAGCTCTACCAAAGTTGTTTAAAGTATTAAATTCCATAAAGAACTCTGGTTGCCATGGCAACCAAAAGATTTTTTACAAAAAATCTTTAAGAATCTTCTTGTAAAAAAAAACTAAAGAGCTAGAGCTTAGATATTTGGCATGAAACATCTTCTAGTTTGTTCAAATAAATGTCCTAAGGTCAAAATTGGCCCAGCCCCAGGGGTCATTGATTTTCCTTATATGTACATAGTGAAAACTAAACAAAATCTTCTTGTGAAAATCCAAGAGAGGTAGAGCTTAGATATTTGGCATGTCACATCTTCTAGTGGATGTCTATCAAGTCTGTTCAAATAAAACCCCTCAAGTCAAAATTGACGCCCCCAAGGAGTTCATTGATTTTCCTTATATGTTTATAGTAAAAACTTAAAAAAATTGTCTTGTGACAATCCAAAAGCACTACAGATTAGATATTTGGCATGAAACATCTTCTAGTGGATGTCTACCAAGTTTGTTCAAATAAAAGCCTTACGGTCAAAATTGGCCCCACCCCAGGGTGTGATAGATTTTCCTTATATACATATATATATAAATATAGGTTTGTGAAAATTATTTACATCTACAAAATACCTTTCAAAAACACTGGATCCCAAGAAAGATACAAGAACATGGAAAGAATAACAATAAATTTGGAGAAAATAAACGTTCATACAGTGCTAAAGTATAAATACCCAGAAAATAAATGTGCATACATTTAGCACTGTATGAACGTTTATTTTCTCCAAATTTATCATATATATAAATATATATAGTAAAAACTTAAAAAATCTTCTTGTGAAAATCGAAAGAGCTAGAGCTTAGATATTTGGCAAAAAACATCTAAGTTCTTGTGTATGTCTACCATGATTATTCAAATGAAAGCCCTAGGTTCAAAATTGGCCCGGCCCCAGGGGTCATTGTCTTATATGTATATAGTAAAACTTAAAAAATCTCCTTATGAAAATCGAAAAAAGAGGTAAAGCTTAGATATTTTGCATGAAACATGTTCTAGTGTATGTCTACCATGTTTGTTGAAATAAAACCCCTAGGGTCAAAATGTATGTACTGTAAATCTGGTATTTTTCGCCATGTTTTAATTTTCGCTATTTCTTCTGGGGTGAAATGGGGCTCCACTTTGACCTATTTCTGAAGTGAGTGATCCAGGGCCCTATGGACCCTCTTGTTTATTTTCATCTGATGCGGCATTAAATCCCGTTATGTCATAGTATAAAAATGTAAAATTTGTAAAAGTTACCCATTTCAAAAACACACAAAAACTTTAAACTGCAAGATGTTATCCTAAACAGGGTCTTTCAAATGATTTAAAAACAGGTTTAATATAAAGTTAGAATTCTTGCTGCTTATCATGATGTTATTTGGAGCTAACTGTAACAAAATTTGGGCAAGTTGTTACAGAGCAAATCATTATATCACCATGTATCTGAACACAAACTGTGTAGTTTAATTTGACTGAGTCAATATAAATATAGAAGTATTGAATGTATTCCTTGGTTTTAACACCTACTTTATGACTATTAAGTATTCAACAATGCACCAACAATTAAACTGAAGGCTATTGCCACATACAGTTTCCAGACATTATAAAGACAACCTCTGAAAGGGAAATATAATTATTATATTTATATGCTAATTATGCTTACATGTAACCATGGTGCCAGGAATGATGATAATTGGAAATGACTCATTAAAACATGAACAATTAAACATCCATACAAGGCTACAATTTTATGTGATTTTTTGTCGTCTTTCATCTTTCAATCTCTGTAATTCCTAAAATATGAACATCATATTTGATATTGTCCAAGAACTCACTTCTATCAAATTTAAATGATACATTTATATAATTTGATCACTTTTCAACCCCCCAAAAAAATATGTTCAGACAAAATGAAAAGTTCAAATTTTGTTTTCAAAATTTTCTTCTTCAATTTTGTTCAAAAAGTTTCTTTCTTTCCTTCCTTCTTTTCTTTTTTCACATCAGCATTAAAGTCACAATCTGTATCATTTTCAATGATAAATTTCCTATTTATCAGTAAAACATTTCTTTATTGATAACAGTTTTACCCTCTTGTAATTTGCATCTGGGTGCACATACATGTATACCCCCACATCAATAGAACTATTGTTAGTTATATTTTAATGTTAACTTCATACTGTTATTTTTTTTCAGAACTATGGCCATGTCTTTGTTACAAAGGATTTGTGCCCCAGTTACAAGACAGTTCACACAGCTACCAATCAGAACATTTTGTAAGTTGATAGTTAATTGTTTGCATTTATGTTTTATGCTATTTCCCATTTTGCCTTTTTTTAACATTTGAAACAAAAGACTTTATTTGGTTATGTTTGAATATTATAATATTAAATGTGACCTTACATGTAATTCAGCTGATGTAGTGAAAACAAGTATTTATGTTATTTCTCTAACATTAATTATGTCATGCAGTTTACCATTTCCCAAATTGTTTTAAGTTAGAAGAGTTCCCACTTTTTCCCACTTAATAAACTAAATTGAGGAATGTTATACATAATTATAGGTAATATTTGTGTGCTATCTCTAATGTATACACTTTATTACATTACAAGAACACGAGTTTAAAGCCTTGTAAAATAAGCCTGTGCCAGTTTTCCAATGTAGAAATACATTTGACATTATACCCACTATTATTTATTCAATGATACTGCTTACAACCATTTTGTCATTAAACAGTTGTGTTGAAAAAAAAATCTTTGTTTCAGAATTTAAATATGCAACAATGAGATCATACAACAGTTTTCATTCAGCACCTGCATAGTACAAAAACTTTCTTCTAGTTTATGCCCAGATGGTCATATAATATTATATCCCTTGTCATACGTCAATGTCATGATAAGGGGCAATGGTCTTCTTACTATATAATTGGCAATGGTCTTCTAACTGGATAAAGGGCAATGGTCTTCTACTTGTTACAAATGAAAAG